CCACCACAGCAGCGTGTGGAAAAACTGTCTTCCACAAAACCAGCCCCTGGTGCCAAAATGGTTGGGGGCCGCTGAGTTAGAGGATGACTGCAATATTCTGGGTGAAGATGATAGAGTAAATTAAGGCTGTGGAAGTAGAGATGAGCTAGAACTCAAAGAAGTTACAGCATCAGTCTTAGGTTTCCTTTCCTAAGACAACTGTCTGCCCATCCTGCCAGATTCTCTCCCAAGTCCCTTCAATTTTCACTTTTGATCTCTTTCAGCTCTTCCCAGTTCAACTCTTTGGACCCTCCAAGGCCCCCTTATACCCACCTCAACCTCCTCTAATCTCCAGGTCCTTCTCTCTGGAAGGTGAAGGGTAGTGTTAGGAACCCCGGATTCCAAGTCAGAGAAATCCCAACCAGCTGTGTGACCTTTGGCAGGCCTCTTACTCTCTCTGATCCTCAGTTTTCTCATCTTAATGAGAGAGCTCAACTGAGAGCCAACTGTAACACTATTAATCTTTGATGCCCTGCCCCCACCCAATCTCCTTTCCTTACAGTCAGGGTCCTCAGCTAGAAGCCTGGGAACCCGAGTCCTAGGACAAGGCTCAGCTGCCTCAATAGGTGACCTTGGGCAAGTCAAGTCCCTTCTCTGGAAGGCTCCATTTTCCCATTTCGATAATGAGTACAGGTCTCTCGGAGTTGCCTGCCTCTTAAGGGCTGTCGTAAGAGTCGACCTCAGCGTTTTGGGAACTAAAGCAGACAGAAAGACAACTGGGGCTTCGCAGAGACTCCCGGCTCTCACACTAGCTGTGTGATCTTAGGCAAGTGACCAAGCCTCTCTGAGCCTAGATAACCATCTGTAGAGTGAGGACAGTGCCAGTGATCCTCTAGCAGGGCTGCTGGAAGGGCTGAGAGCGCCAGATACAGATACACCAGGAGCGCGGGCCGAGCGCCGCCCCTCCTCCCTGCCCGCCGCCCGCCGCCGGCCGGGCCCGCACCTGCGCAGCTGCTGGATCTTGTCGCGGTAGCGGTCGTAGAAGGGGTTAGCCTCGATCTCTTTCCCGACCCCGCTGCCTTCGACGCCCCCCGCGGGCCGGCCCGAGCCGCGGCGCACCGGGAACACGCGCAGCTGCGCGGGTGACACGAGCCCCAGGCCCAGGGCGCGGCTGCGCACCGCGCACAGGCCGCGGTAGAGGCCGGCCACCTGCAGGACGGCCGGGCCCGCGCCACCCGCTGCCGCCACCACGGCAGCCATGGCCGCCCCCGCCTCCTCCTCCTCCTCCCCGGGCACGTCGGCCTCGGCCCGCGGCCCGCGCGCCCGCTCCATTGCCCTCCGGGTCCGCCGCGCCCGCGCTCCAGCAGCGAGGTTCCGCGCACTCAAGGTTCCGGGAGCCGGTGAAGGGCGCGGTGGGAGGCAGGGGGTTCGCCGCTCCTGCCCCGGGCCCCGCCCGCGTCCCGCGTGCTCTGCAGCTTTAGCGCCCCCGCCCAGCCTTCTCGCCGAGCCTGCGACCAGCAGCCCTTGCGGGTTAAGTCTCCTCTTGAAAGCTGCTTGGACCTACTGGTCCTCACCGAGCTTGCTCCCTTTTAAATTCTTTAGGCACGTGCTGGAGTAGTCATCCTTCAGCATCGAAGGCCCTTTCATCAGCTGTAATCACAGTAGCAGCTTCTCTTTATTGAGCGTTTCTATGTGCAGGACACTATTTGCTTCATACTGTGTGAGGCAGGTTTTATCCCTATTTTACAGACGAGGAAACTGAAGCTGAGAATCATTAAGAGACTTGTCCAAGACTTGTCCAAGGGCTGAATTCTTTTAAAGATGCCAGCTGCCTCCGAAGCCTTTTCTTCCTCTGCTTCCTGACACCCACCTTGAACTCCAGCCAAACTGAACTACGCTTCTCCCCAAAGAGACACCTGGATTTGTCCTTGACAAGTCTTCATACCTGGAATGCTGTCTCTCCACCCAATGCCACCATCTTCTTCACCCCCTGAACCAGGTGTGAGTGAACTCCTGGGGTCAAGAACGGTGACATCAACACCTGGCCTCACCTGTGCCCAGCACAGGGCCAGGCCTGCAGCAGGCCCCCTGTGATGGCATTGATCAGTCTGCCCTCATGAAAGTTCTCCTGTCGGGTCTTACCTGATAGAAACCCCTCTTGAATGATGGACCTCTTAGGGTAAGGGACAGTGCCTTCAACTCTGCTCAGTCCAGCCTGCACTTTTGGAGATGGGCCTTGGGCCCTGGCCTGTGCTGGGAGTAGTGTGGTAAACCCTGAGATTAGCAAGTCCTTTAAGTGTGCCAGCCTGTACCTGCCTTAGCATCCTTGCACTGGCTGCTCCCTTTGCACGTGGCTATCTCATCATCATCTAGGGCTCAGTTCACAAGTCAGCACCTCAAAGGGACTTTTCTTGATGCACCCCCATCACTTTATATTCTTTATCCCACTACCTTATTTTCTTCAGAGCAGTTAAGGCTACCTGAAATTCTTACATATTTATTTCCTTGTTTGCATTAATTCATGGAGCTTACATTCTAGTGGGGTGAGACACAATATGTATACATACCTACATACATACATAAATAATGTTAGGTGATAATACATGTTATGAAAAAACAAAGCAGGCTAGGAGAGACAGAGATAAGGGGCCAGTTGAGCAGAGACCTGAAGGAAATGAGGCATGGTCTGTGTGGATATCTGGGGGAAGAGCCTTCCAGATGGAATAGCAAGTGCAAAGGCCTTGATGCAGGAGCATGCTTGCCCTGCTTGTGGAACAGCAAGAAGGTTATTGTGCGAAGGAGGCATAGGGAGGGGTAGTTTGATCGCTCAGGGCTTTGTAGGCTTTGGTTAAGGACTTTGGTTTTAAATCTGAGTGAGGGTCCTCCTTGGTGGTGCAGTGGTTAAGAATCTGCCTGCCAATGCAGGGGACACGGGCTCGATCCCTGGTCTGGGAAGATCCCACATGTCGTGGAGCGACTAAGCCTGTGTGCCACAACTACTGAGCCTGTGTCTAGAGCCCATGAGCCACAGCTACCGAAGCCCGCACCTAAAGCCCGTGCTCCGCAACGAGAAGCCACTTCAATGAGAAGCTCATGCACTGCAACGAAGAGTAGCCCCCACTTGCAGCAACTAGAGAAAGCCTGCACATAGCAACGAAGACCCAACACAGCCAAAAATAAATAAATAAATAAAAATAATTTATAATCAAAAAAATTAAAAAGGCTCATTCTGACTGCTGGTGGAATATAGGGCGTGGGGGACAAGGATGCAAGCTCTCCCAAGGGTAATTAATTTGTCCTAGTTTACCTGGGATTTTCCTGATTTTAGCATCAAAAGTCCTATGTCCTGGAAACTCCCTCAGTCCCAGGCAAACAGGGATGGTTGATCACCCTAAAGGGAGACCAGGTGAGAGAGGGTGGTACTTGTATTAAAGTGATGATGATGGAAAAATGGTCAGATTCTGGGTATGTTTTGAAGGCAAAGCCTAAAGATTTTGCTACTGGAGTGAACGTGGGTGTGAGAGAATGAAGGGCGTCAAGGGTGACTGTCAGGTTTTTGGCCTGAAGAACTGGAGGGAGAGAGTTGCCACTTACAGAGAGGAGGAGGCTGGAGTAGGTTTTGGAGATGGATCATCAGGAGTTTGGTTTTGGACATGGTAGTTTGAGATAACTTAACAGACTGGCAAGGAGGGATGTCAGCCAGGCTTTTGGGAGTATGAGTCTAAAGTCCTGAGGAATGGTCTGGGCTGGAGGTACAACGTTGAGAGTTGACAGTGTATATATGGTAGATATGCTATTTAAAGCCATGAGTCTGGGTGAGATCACTGAGGGAATGAATGTGGACAGAGGGCTGAGGACTGAGCCCTCGGGCACCTGACATTTAGAGATCAGGGAAAAGAGGAGAAACTAGCAAAGGAGACTGAAAAGCAGAAGCCAGTGAGGTAGAGCCCAGAGTAAGTGGAACCTGGAGAGAAATCTGTGCTCATTACTGTCCCAAGTCCCACGCTGGGGGTTTAAAGAGGGTGCCCAGAAGCTGAGCTAGGCCTAGTGGTGCAACCTTCAGGCAGGCTGACGTGGGTTTAGTTAGGGGAGGGCTTTCTAACTGAGCTGCCCATAAATGGATCAAGCTGCTTCAGGAGGTGTGGGCAGGTCCCTGACCCAAGCAATTCCACACGTATTAGTGCTGGGTAGGGGAGATCTGCCTCTAGGGCTCAATCATGTGCTGGGAGTTGGACTACACAACTCTCAAAGTGCCTTCAAACTGGAGACGGTGTGATTCTGGGAAGCCAACTGAAAGAACTTTGTCACAGAGTAGGGGGTGTTGAGCTGAGCCTTGAAGGATAAGCAGGTGTTCAGTGGTGGGGAGAGTGGGGAGGGGCACTCCTAGGTGGAGGAGCAGTGTGAGCAAAGCTCCAGAGATGTGAATAAGCAAGGTCTGTTAAGCAGGGTCTGGTCAGAAGGGAAAGGTGTGTGAAGGATGGGGAGGAAGGTGAAGCCGAAAAGAGATGTAGGGCCAGATGGTGGGGAGCTCCCATACGGCCTGATGCCCCGGAAGCACTTGCCAATACTCGTTGAAGGAAGGTAATGAAACAAAAGAGAAATTGTAAGAGCCAAGGAAGGAGGTGTTGACCACATAGCTCCCTTGAGTGGGTTGTCTCCTGACAAGTCAGTCATAGCAGACTTGACAGCAGGGCTGCCCACTGCTCTGGGTGCTCCCTGCCCAGGGATCCATCAACTGTTCCTTAAAGCCTAGGGACAAAATAAGCCCCCGAGGAATCTAGGGCCCTTTCCTGGGGGCTGCTCTGTGGGTCAGAGGTAGGGGGCCGACAATTCAGAGGGTGGGTCAGTCCCTGGTAGAAGCAGTAGAGACGCACTATGCCTAGGAAACACCACTGGTGGAGTCTGTTCCTTCCATTAGACTTCACAAGCATTGCCCTTGGATGCTCAGTGTTCAGAACTCTGTGAACCACCTTTAGGGAACAATGGGGTCTGGGAATTCTGGGGACTCCTATTGGCTAGACAGATGGGTAGGTGAACTCCCTCTCCCCAGAGCCATCGGCCAGCTAGGTACCAAGGTTTGACCTTATGGATTCCCAAAGGGAGGACCTCAGCCTCCCTGGTGGTAAATGTGCTCCCTCCCCAAATCCCTGCCCCTTGCTTCATGCCCTAGGCTTGGGGGCACTCAGGGAAGACCTTTTGCATGGATGGGGGTGATGGCTACCTGCGTGGATGCATGCTAAGAGTTAGGACAGGGTTTCCTCTAGAAAACTATGGATTTCTTGAGGACATAGACCATGTCTCTCTGACGGCCCAGAATGGGTACCACAAATACCCCCAGGACATCACAGCTGAATGGTTAGGGGTGTGGTGGAATGGGATGGGACATTGGTGTCCCGTCGACTGGTAAACTTTTACTTTCTTGATGGGCTTTGCCTTTAGTGAGGCTTCTCATTCTGATGGATCAGACGGGGCCAGGGTTGGGAACCAGAGGCTTGAGTAAGCCTGGGCAGGTCATGCCCCTCTAGACCTAGCTTTTCTTATCTGTGAAGAGTGAAAGGTGGCCTCTTAAACTCCCTGGAAATCCTGCTTTGACTGAATAAAAGAATGATGAGGCCAGTCAATGAGAAAAGGAAGGAATGGAGAGAGTGGTTAAGTGGAGGGAACGATTGGTGAAAGGGCTAAGCAGAGGAAGGAGAAACAGCTGAGACCCCAAGCTACAGCTATCAGCCAGCTTGCTTTTTTTCTTATTGCCTTCCTTAGTGTGGGTGTCACTGTACTTTGGATTCCTGGGGCTGTGTTCTGTGATAACCGGCGGCTGCATTCTCTTTCTGCACTGGAGGAAGAACCTGCGGCGGGAAAGGCGTGCCCAGGAGTGGATGGAGGTGATGCGAGCAGCCACATTTACCTACAGCCCGCTGTTGTACTGGATTAACAAGCGACAGCGCTATGGCATGAACGCAGCCATCAACACGGGCCCTCCCCCTGATGCCACTAAGACCGAGACTGACACCCAGAATTCAGATCACCCGTGGGAGTTGGACGTCCCCGAGAGCAGGAGCTATGCTGCTCAAGACAGCAGCCCCAAGGTGGAGGCCCCCAGCCCCCTGCAACCTGCAGTGCAGCTGATCCCACAGCAGCCCCTACCTTCGCCGGTGCTGCAGCCCCAGGCCAGCTCCCGACTCCCGATTCCCATTTTTCAGGAGGTGCCCTTTGCCCTCTCGCTGTGTAACCTACCCCCGATGCTGAACCACTCAGTCTCCTACCCTTTGGCCACCTGTCCTGAAAGGAACATCCACTTCCATTCCCTCCCCACACTGGCCCAGGGGGACCACTGCTTAAATGTCAAGCTGTCTGCTTCAGAAGTGTAGCCTCCTCTCACTGAGGATGGGAGCTGGAGGTATCGGGGCAGTGCAGGAAATGGAGCTGACCTCAGGGAGGTGGTACTGACACAGAGGCCAGGGCCCATCTAGATGTCACATAATGAAAGATTTAAAAAAGTCCAAGGCTCCCTTGTGTCTCATTTGCTGTTAGGAGGGAAAATGTCTGAGGGGGGCACTTCACAAACCAAGCTGAAGGTCCGAGTCTCACCAATACCAATGGGAACTGAGGGTTGGCTGCAGGGAGACACGCTGAACCAGTAGTTGTGATGGGCTCAACATCCCTCTAAACAGTATTTAAGAACAAAACCGTATGCCAGACCCTGGTCTAGGTACCCAAAGGCACTGCCACTCTGTGGGACATTAAGCACAGTTGCAACAAGAGTGACAGCCACTAAGGATGCATGAACGATGGTGACTGGTAGTGGCCAAAACAGGTCAGTATGAAACCCATGAGCCACACTGCACTGCTGCTGGAATTGCATTCTTTGTTAACATCTAAGATGTATTGCGTTCTTGTGTGGTTGTCTACATTATTTCTAATACAAGAACACTGCCAAACAGATATCACGATCCTCTTCTTACAGATGAAGTTTCCAAGGGCATTTGCCGTATCATTTTTTTTTTTTTTTTTTTTTTCGGTACGCGGGCCTCTCACTTTTTTTGCCTCTCCCGTTTCGGGGCACAGGCTCCGGACGCGCAGGCTCAGCGGCCATGGCGCACGGGCCCAGCCGCTCTGCGGCATGTGGGATCCTCCCGGACCGGGCCACGAACCCGTGTCCCCTGCATTGGCAGGCGGACTCTCAACCACTGCGCCACCAGGGAAGCCCTGCCGTATCATTTTTATGTTGCAGAGCAAGGTCTCAAATTTATGTCTGTCTAGCATCAAATTTCCTGATCTTCCCACCATATACCGTGGTGTCCATTTCCTAATGAAGTCTTGTTTGAAGACACTTGGAAAATGATTTATTGTGTGTGTAATTAATTTGGTTCAAGGGTTGGCTTGGGGTAAGGGCTGGTCAATGAACCTCCTAAAAAATGTATTTTTTTAAAATCTTTCTCAAGGGGATTCATGGCCTCTCCCAAAGTTAAGATTCACTGTGTACAAATATTAGCTTTTGCACCTTCTGGAAACTATTCTAAAAGGAGAGACAAAGATAACACTGGCTCTTTGGTCCCAGTTCAAAGATAAGAAAACCCAGCTCTGCTCCAGGATATAAAATTTTCCCTTTCACTTTGGAAATGAGAAAATCATCTTACCATATTTGTAAATGAGCTAAGCTTTTTTCCTCCTGAGAGGAAAGGCCACCCAGATTGTGTGTGTGTGTGCAATCCCAGAATCTAGCGGTCATGTACAGCTATTAAAAATTTTTTTTTCCTGTGTATGAAAAAAGCCCAGCTCCTCCCTATATGACCCCTTATCTTGAAATGGATTTCAAGCCTTTTTCCTTCTTTTTTTCCAAAGACATTGGAATATGTCTTGTAAACATCCTCTTATATTGAATCTCAAAATAGAAAACAGGCGTAAGTGGAACTTCTCTGGTTGATACAGAGGCAGGGGCTCACTCTTCCCTCATCCTGCTCCCTTCCCACCCTGCACATGCCAAAACAGCCTTCATTTCTTCAGGCCAAATTGGGCGGATCTTCAGGCAGATTCTTCAACGTTACTTTCTGTCCACCATCTGTTAGGCTTTGCATTCAAAAGGAGGAAGGAGTCCATAAAAATAGGGATCAAAGCAGATTTTTTTCTTAGTAATTGGGAGGATGGAGGGGCAAGCCTTTAATCACAGACACAGTGAGAGAAAAAAGAAATGTTTTATTTAAATTAAAATTGTTTTATTACTGATATTAAATTAGCAAAGCCCAAAACAAGTGATGGAAATCTTGAATTCCCTCCCTAAACAGAACCAAAATTGCTTAAACATTACCAAAATAGCTCCACTTAAGCAAAGTAGATTTACATTTCTTAATATGAGAAAACAACAAGGTAGGTTAGGTTCGTATAACAAACAGTACACGCTCTATAAAGTCTCAGGAATACCCAAATGTTTTCTGGTTTGGATATGAAAGAGGGGACCATATCAAACTGGCATTGGTAAGCAAGCCAATGAGGTGTAGCAAACAAAAGCTGTTACTAAAAACAACTCAACAGCAGGCCATATGAGTATGAGCCCATCACAGTCAAAATCTTCAACTGTGACCGGCAAGACCAACATGGGGGGCGTGGGGGCGTGCAGATGTGGTTACGGCCAGAGATATAACGTGAGGGGGAATGCCAAAGGAAGGGAAAGAAACCAGCAGCAGGTGAAGGGTGTCCACTCTTCAGCTGTGCTGTATCAGACACAATCCTAAGAGCCAGGCCCTTCTCGGCCTTTAAGATGACACTACAGTCATCCCTAAGCCAGGTTCTCTCTTCTTTTGGTTCTTCTCTTCCTATAATACATTGCCTCTCTGATTTATGGGGGAGGCTCTCTAGGTAAACATTATACCAGATAGAAGGCGAAAGAAAAACAGGACCAAGGAGACATGCTTTGGGTAACTCAGGAAAGCAGCAGGAGGAGCTGCCGGAGTGCAAAGGTAAAAGCATTTGAAACGAAAACCAAAACCAAACTCACTACTACTACCTAGCCTTCCTCTCAGGGCTGAGGTGTGGTAGGTGAGGCTTGATTAGAGATCGACACAAATCATAGGTTGGATAAGTTAAGACAACTTTCAAATAAAAATCCCAAATTAATAATGATAAAGGCTTATGAGAATCCTTTTTTTAAGCCAATGAATATGCTCAACTTAGAACAAAGGAGTTCAAGATGTCCTAGTTCTGCCTGGGAGATATGGCACTCTCCCAGGCGGTGTGGCAAGGGTACTCACAGGTCTGAGCGTGCAGCAGGAACACCTCTGCCAAATCTGGTGGGGAGAGTATGGAACCATCCAGCTGGCTCAGGGATGACGGTAGGTGGCGGACAAGCTTCAGGTGGGAAGAATGGAGGCTAAACTAAAAAGCACAGCTGATGCAAAAGAAAAGTATATACGAAGAGTTAAGGTGTCCTCCAAGTATTTGCCTATGAATAAGAATTTGAAACTAAAAAGGACAAGCTACATTACCCTCAAGTATACGTCATATAAATCAGTTCTCAAAAAAATACCTTCCAGGTACAGACATACTATTTATGGTACAGTACATATAAATATAGCAGTATAATTCAATTTATTGCTAGAATTTTATTTGGTTGTTACAAAATCTGCAAGGGTATATATATTAAAAAGGGGGGGGCATGAAAGGCAGCCAGAAGAGTAAGTTATCTTCAAGTTACCTAAAGTGCCAGGCTAATTTTATACTATATTTAAACCTTTCCAAGAAAGTAAAATAGCATAGGTAGGCAAAGGAATTGTTTGAGAGAAATAGAGCGAGAAGCGTAAGCCATAATGAGGTAAGCAGACACATTCATGGGAAAAGACTTCATCCTACTTTAACTAAATTTTAATATTTCTAGAAAAAAAACCCAAGGTTAGCCAACACCGACCTGAACATCATATAAAGAAAAAAACCAGCCCTTAAATATTTAAGGGTGCTCCACTGCATCCATGGCTAACAGGGCAACTTGGACAAAGTTAAAATGGAAACAAGCTTTACTAAAGAAGTCTGAAAGCTTCTCTAGTTTCTCCCTGACTTGGCCTACAGCACAGTTAAGTTTTGCAGGTTTCCTTTTGTGTTGCCTGAAGATTGCTTCTAAGATCAACACAGCACACACAGAGGTGACATGGAGGAATAATTCCTTCCAGTTCAGGGACCTTTAGTAGCAGGGCTACAGAAGCATTTAATGGGAGAAGTACTGCACTTGCTTGTATTAGATTTGCTGCCATAACGTGAAGCCCCCCACCCTAGGCCTGCCTGCCATGTTTGGCATCCTCTGGACAGAAAGCCTCTAGCTATTTCTGAGCTGTAATTGTAAGGAAACCTAATATGATTTCAGGTGTTTCATTTCACAACCTTTTTGGCCTTAGCCCACAGAAGAACATAGTAGGTTCTTGGTTAGGCCCCAGGTAAAATCTCAAGAAGTTTCCTGGATCAAAGTTAGAGGCAGAGCTTTCCTCTCTAGTTCCTGAGTAGCCAGGCTGAGACAGTGGCCGAAGGACTGCAGCCCTGCCATTCAGAATGGAGACAGTATCAGAAGTGAAAGTCAGTTACGGCTTAAAGGTAGACTTGAGTGGGTGCGTGGGGGAAGATAATCTAGTTCACTCAGGGAGGAAATGTAGCTCCCACTGGATAACTTTTTATGCTCATAAATCCTGAAACAGGATTAAAAGAGAGAAAACCCCCAACAAGACTTCTCTGGTTCACAGGTTGGGAGGAGCTGAGAGGATAGACCAAAGAGCCAGAATCCTGAGCCTGGAGGCAGCACCGTCCCCAGTGTCCACTCCCTAAATCTACTCCCCCAGCACCAGGCCAAACCCCATGGCAGCACCCAAAGAGGATGTCTTAAGGAGATGGGGACACAGCTTCAAGCTGCTACCAGATCAGATTAGCAATTTTTAACAGCAAGTCATTTGTTCACGTCCTGTTTCAAACCATTCTTCCTACTTCCCACAAAATACGCACAACTCTTTCTTTCATTTTAAATATTTACAAACAGAAAAGGTCTATCTGTTAAAGGAAAGACATTTTCTGAGTCTGTATAAAGTGCAGCTAATTTAAGGCAAATTTATGTGAAATATAAAAGGTGGCTTATTCTCTCTATATACACATTTTCCAGTTTTAAAAGATAAGGTCTCCTCCCCTCAAAAAAAAAGGAAAGAGAAAAAAAGAGGGCTTGACTTTTTTTCTGGCAATTTTAAAATTAAGATCCTACTGGTTTAAGGAAATCATAGATTTCTGAATATCATATTATAAGTAAAATGGTCTTTTTAAAAAAATAACTTTTACATAGCTTTTTCAAACAAGTTAAAAGGTGGCAATGTGTCTGCTACTGTAGTTTGGAGGACTGGAGGATTGATGGGTAGGTAGAAGGGTTGTTTTTGTTAGCTGAGTAGATATTAGGTAGTCCAGGGCATACATCCATTTTTAAAATAAGCCTGATGAGGCTAGACACCTAAAGCTACTCTTAGCTCCAGGAATGAGTAT